ATGGACACTGGGAAGAGGTAACTATGGGGAGGAAGTGAGAGGGGAGCTGTTGCATTGTGGTAAACTGTGGTCAATGTCATGAGACAAAGTATATGTAAACTGCTGTATGGAAAGTGAATTTGCTCTGTAAATCTTCACACAAATCACAATAATAATAAAAAGAAAAAAAACTCATTAAAAAAAAAAAAGACTAATGACACAAATTCCTCAGTCATATGTCTATTATTTTTACGACCATTTATCACTGCCATAACTACTTAGGACATAGTACAACAATAAACTGGATGAAGTGTTAACTCTGTTTAGATAGTATTGCTTTCTTGTTGCTTCATTTTTACTTCTTGTGAGTCCAACAAAACTGTGCATCCCTTCAGAGCAGAAGTCGTATCTTACGTTATTCTTGTAACCCTCTAAGGTTTCGAGTATAGAACTGGGCTTAGAGTAGGCACTCAGTGTATCAGCTGAAGTAACTTTGTTATTAGAGATTGTTTAAAACTATGGCAAAGGGAAAGATGCTAATGTTATTGTGAGTGAGGCATGATATTGTGAAAAGGTGAAGATGGATCAGATTCAGAGGCCCTGTGAAAGAAGCAAAAGACATACAGGAAAAAGGAAATGAAGGAACAGACTTATGCACGTTTGTGTTATGTACCATAGTGAACCACATTTCAAGAGTTTCATTCTTAACAAGGTAGCTGTGAAATAGGTATTTTGAGATGTGAATTCAAAGCTAAAATAAATGCTTACAGTTTTCATCCTGGGCAATGCATTGTAAAGGGATCCCAAAGAAAGACGTATAGCTGTCATTGTACCACACCAGAAGCTCGGTACCCCTGGGAATATCTATACAGGCTCGGTAGAATATGTTCGACCTATTCGAAACAAAAGAAAACCCGGCTTAGTAATATGCAGGATTCATGTGCCCCCATCCACATTTTATTGCCCCGGAAAAATTCTGCCCAGCCCCACCTAAACAATTTCTGTTTGTAATAAATCTGCACCCACCTGATTGTCTCCAATAACCAATTAGAGCCTGTAATCCAGTATGATAAACAGCTCAGAGTTTATTTCCGCAATGTCCTTCCACAGAACTTCTCAACTGAGGAGAGAGTTCTTGGCCCGAGAGGAAGCAGAAACCAAGAGAGTTCATTTTAAAAAAAATCCATCTCACACCAATGAGACAATTTTCTGGCAAATGGTATCACTGGTGGCCCAACTCCATATATAAATGAATATTATTGATTTCTATTTGAAGGAAAGGCATTAAATGGATTCTTGCAAGTTGGCATTGGGAGTTTCCAAATTTGTAATAAAATTAAGCAGCTTTATGATATATAAAGACTGAGAGAAATAAAGTCCTCTCCATTGCCTTTCTTCTAAAGTTTGATAGAAAAGAAGAGAAAATCCCTCTTATATAAAATGGAAATTCAATAAATACAAGAGGAACACTTTACTCTGGCTGAAAGATTTCACTCTGAAATGATACAGTGAAGGTAACAAGAAATAAACATATTTTATAACAGCTTCAATACTGTGAAGAAAAATCTACAGACTTAAAAAAAAAGAGGAGACTGCAACTGGTTTTCTCAATGAAGAATTGCTACAAGTATTAGCCTCGAGTTCAAGATAAAAGTGCTTAGGGTTGGTGGGCCTTAAATTTAGTCTTTCTGTAAGGAATTGGCTGTAGCAGGGCAATTTGTTCCTTGTATAACACTGCAGACATAAGGCGAATCCTTTGCCACATTTTTCATGGCAGTGAGATATGCACTTGTCAACATATTTTGTCACCACAAAGTGGCTCTTGGCAATAGGATCATAAAGATCAATAAAAAAGAGCAGATTCTCAATATTTTACTTGCAGCTGCAAAAATTTCATTTATCTTGTTATTTTCCTCACTTGCTGCCATTCTGTCTCACGAGGGCACTGCTAGCTAAGCAGAATGTTTTTCCCAACATTCTATGAATATCTGACAAAAACTCCAGCCAGTTGTCCACCGGCCCTCACTTACCCTTCCTCCCTCCGCATCTCCAAGAGCTGTGCATTTTATTAATTCTTTCCACTGCTATATAAAAAAATCAAAATTGGAGCTGAGCTATAAATCACTGGCATCTCCTAACTCGAGAAAAATTGAGTCTACTTTGTACTTCACCCTTGTAACATTTCATCTCTCGGTTTGGCTTCCCTTAATATAAACACAGCGCCCAGCAAATGAATGTGCTAAAACCAAATGACACACTTTGCCGCTGAAAGAGCAGAACTGTTTTCGAGCAATGGGTGGTCTTCTGAGGCACGGAGTAGGCCGAAAGGGGGAAAAAATGTGTAAGCGTACACCATTCCTTACAAGTGGGCAAAGCTTCCAAAACTCGCAGAAATCTCTGCATGTTGAAGCACATCAAAGGGATTTTTCCCTTTTCAGATAATATTTCCTTTGCTGACATGTATTTAGTATTGTGGTTGGATGACTCATAAAGATAGCTTCATAGCGTCCCAACGCAGTTGAAGCAGAACACATGCCAACAAACATTATTGTCAGCCTCAAAATAAAAACAAAACGTTCAGCTAAGGGTCAATCAATCAAGGGCGCTTTGAAGAAAATTCCATTTAGATATTACAAATCATAACAGAATGAATTTAAACCAGCTGACTTTTTGTGAAGAGGACATTCATGTACAATAAAAATTAGGCTGGCTCTTCAGGGTCCAACTTTTCTATTTTCTTACTCTTGGACATAGTCACTGGTGATGGATGCCAGTTTTCTAAATTGTGTTTTTGTAGTTCACTTTATAAAGATCTGAAGTAATCTAAAACAGATCGGCAGAGAGAACTCGAAGTTTAAGCACCATCATGAAAGGGGAGTTGTAAAAGCCACTTAATATTGACAGATATGTAGTGGCTTACTCATGCCCACCTTCCTCTTAGGGTTTTCTTGTTTTCCCAAATCCACAATTTGCCTGGAGAACTCCCTGGGCACTTGTTATAGAACTAGTCAAATGATCTCTCACTGAATGGACAAGCACAATCTTTATTAATTTTCTAGGTTAGGGTTTTAGAAAAACTTCACAACAGAAATGCGGCTGCAGCAAAGGTGAGTAAAGCCCAAACCCAGCAGTGTAACCAAATACTATCTTGCACTATTTCATTTAAACCACAATTTCAATGAAATAAAAGCACAAAGGAAGCCAAGGCAGTGAAGCCCCATGCTTCTCAAATATGCTTCTTTGGAACTGGAGCTCTTGGAGAACCAGCTAGATTTGTGCTGTTTTAAACCTATAAGGGGAAGAAAGTTGTTTTATTCTTTTTTTTTTTAGGTCTTCATTTTTAAAAACCAAAAAAAGGAAAGGAAAATAAATAACCACAGGCAGGATTCCAAGTGGCTGAGCACAAGGCCTTCTGCTTTGATGTGTCTGTGGTGCCTAATAAAGCTAAACAGTTGCTTCTGATTCTAAAGGGAACACGGCTGTTTATAACTGAGGTCATATATTTATATGGCACATGTTTTCGAGGGATTTTGAAAAAAGGCTTAGTGGTAAGGGTTGGTTTTTTTTTTTTTTTTTGTATTTGGTTTGTTTTTGCCCTCTCATCTCCACTCCACCTTTTTCTAGATCTAAGTGAAAATGCTTGACCAACAGGTGCACTGAGCAGATGTGGCTATGCACCCTGAGAGCTTGTCTTGCTTGTCAGCTCCCAAGAGGCTGACTCTGGGAACCAGAGGTAGCTCCACCATGTCTTTGTTACCTTTTTCCCAAACATCTCAGGAAACCAGGAGCTTCTCTGAATATATCCTTAATTGCTAAGGGGCCAGACTCAAATGTTCTGGCACCTTCTGGGAGAACAAGAAAGTTAGGACTATCTTGGGAAGGTTGAAACTTCTTGGTTTCCCATGGCTGTGTGCAAATGAAGCTGTTCCCACTGAGAGATGGCCTAAGGTGCCTGAAAGCAAGGGACCAGGGGCTGAATCTCTGAACTCCTAGTTGATCTGTGGTGTACACATCTGCTGAGGGGAAACAACTCAAATCAATGGGTTTTCTGGGCTCATTCAGGTCACAGGGCACATGTTGTAGTAGTAACTTTATCACATGTGTGAGTGAAAGAGGGCTTCTGCTATCAACTTTCATCCTGAATTCTCGAGAAAGTAATTCTCAAGAAAGTATGGTCACAAGGAGGTTTCAGAAACCTAGCAAAAAAATTTCTGCCAGCCCCTGCAGATTCCTGCAGGATTTTTCTCAATACTTGCAGCAAGTCCAAATTTGTACATCGAAGCCAAATGGCTCCAGCTCTGTAAGTGGTAAATCAAGATATACTTTACCTGTACTGAACTACTGTTAGATTCTGTTCTCCGCAGTGCCTTGCACATCGGATATACCTCATCCAGCTCGACTTACTAGGTTCCCCACCATCAATAAAGTGCTGTAGTGTCCCATCTTGGTCATATATCTAGAGAAGAGGTCAGAAGGTCAAGTAGTTAGAACCAATCATCAGCAATCATTTGCCCTGCTTCCCTTGGTGTCTTTATGTGTCTGCTACAGAAATTTATTGCCCTTAGATTTGCCAGTGCTTATTGATGCTTGTGGAAACTCAACTGGAATAACAAAAGAATATTTTTTGGTGATGCAAGTGGATCACGTTTTTCTTATCGAGCCAATCTTTCCTGTATTAAACATATTTGTGGTATCTCAAAGATGTAACCATGTTTCCCAAAGGATATTTAACATATTTTGACAGGCTAGTCTTAAGTAATGAGCTGCTGGATAAACAAAGCAAGCTGAAAGGAGAGACCCCACTGACATAGTTGGAACATCAGCCTAAGAGTCCTCCAGGCTCAAACACATGACTGTTCGACAGCATTCTGGAGGCAGTCAATGTCTGTTCAACAAGCCAGGTGACCCTATGAAGCTGTAAAGAGCTGGTGATACAAACTTTGATTCAGATAAAATAAATGGGCTCTCACCTCACAGAAGATGTAGGACTTCAGCTGTCAGGATCTGAAACTATTAGGAGAGGAGTCATCAAAAAGAGAGATCCTCAAAAATAGAAGGAAAAAAAAAAAAAAAAACTCTTTCCTGAGGATTTAAAATTTCTTGACTGGGATTGGTCTAATAATTATGATCTTAGATCAACTCAAGCATATTTTCTTTCCAGATAGCATTCAAGAACATGAAATCAGCTTCCAATCTGGCAAAACAACTAGCTAGCCAACCCAACGTGTTGTGTCAGTGCTCACAACAGAGGAAATAGCTTTCCATTCTGGAAGCCAGTTCAGATCCTGGACACCTTTGGGGATGTGGTAGCTAGAGGAGCAGGAGATGAGGGGGACGCACCCACAGCAATTCTAGAAGTCATCCCCAGTCTTGGTGTATCCAGGAAGCAAGGGGCAGTTAAATGTGTTTCTTAGGAGTACAATTCTCAGAAAGACCATGATACAACAGGATCTTTTTAAGCAAAATTAGCAATGGGGTACTTCTAGTAGCCGCTAAAGCACTCCCTAAAGCTCCTGAAAAATAATATGTCTCTCACTCTTGCTAGCCAGCCTTTCCAAATAGACATGGAGAGTAAGTCTTAGAGACTCTCAGTGGTTACATTAGGAACTAAAATTAATATAGTCATTCATACTAATTTAGTTCAGTATTTCTATTCTAAGAGCCAAAAAGCTTAGTGATGACAGTTCCTTTTTACTATCACCAATCATCCTGAAATAGCTGAAGAGGTTTTTATTTTTCTTGAACTCATTCTTCTTCATCCCCAACCTTCCCACCAACCCCCACAAATAAGATAAACATGAATCTAATAAAGACAATTGTTTAAGATGTTATGACAGAGTAAACAAGCCACAGTTATCACAGCAGATAATCAATTACCCTGAGAAGAATGAAGGAATTCCCGGATTATCTTTTCATTCCTAGATTATATTATATCAAAGGCTCATGATTTCTTTCAATTCTTAGTTTTTGGATAGTAGAGAATGGAGACATTTAATGTGGTGGATACATCTGCTACATGAGCAATCTAATGACAGACATTATATTTATGATAGATTATACTACATTTTTTTCTTTTTTAGGAAGTTGGTTAAGATTCAAAGTCTTGCCCTAAATCTGCTGCTGACAGCCCATGCTACACTGAACAAAGCCATTAGGTTCCCTTTAACACCACTGTTTATCTATGTTGTTGTTGTTGTTGTTTGCCGTCGAGTCAAACCTGACTCATAGCGACCCCTCCTTGGGTTTCCGAGGCAGTATCACTACGGAAGTAGGATTGCCCAACCTTCCTTCCGAGGAGTGGCTGGTGGGTTTGAACCGCCAGCCGTCTGGTTAGCAGGCAAGTGTCTTAGCCATTATGCTACCAGAGCTCTATAATGGAGCCAAAAATGTTGATGACCCAAACCTCTGTCCCCCCAACACACACACCATATATAAACTGTCCATGAGGACTGCTGGTGAAAGTAATTATGAAACATTTTGATCAGTACACACAACAACTCTCCTTTGTGCTTCTATACAACATTCCCAACAGCAAGTAAAAACTTTCTACCATTTATATGTAGTGGATGCTACCTTGAGTGTTAGCTTATCTGAGCACTAGCCACTAGCCTATCAGTCTTTAAAATGAGTATAGAAAACATTTTCTCCTACACTCTCATTTCAGCAATAATCTCCTTAAGTAAGTGCACTGTGATTAGAATGAAACCTATTATTTTTGCCTGCCCCATATGGACTGCTAGTCGCTTTGAGCAGAAGTACATGTCTATTTGTAAGGCTTTTTATTTTATTTTCCCAATTACCACACAATGCAGCACATGGTATGACGTTGGCCTCCCTGGCTTTAGTTAATACTGGCTTTATAGTATTTCACATGAGACTGTAAAGAGAATCTTTACTTTAGACCTCATAACTACATACTCAATCACACCCAACTATACACATTCAACCTTGATATTGCTCTCTCCCTCAGCCCCCAGAGATCAGCCATTACCAAATGCAGTTGAATTTGCCTCCCAAATGCCTTTTAGGTGTATTCCTTTCTCTCCTCTCCACTGTTGTCATCCTAGCCCAAATCAGTTTCTTTTCTCACCTGAAGCATGGCAGTAGCCTCTTAACTGATCTCCCTGCAGTCTCTCTGGGCCCTCTCCAACCCATTCTCTAAACTGTAGCCAGAGAGATATTTCAAAACACAAATTTGATTATATCTGTTTACTCAACTCCCTCCCCACAAATATATATACATATGCTTCATAAATGTCAAATCTTAACAACATGTATCTATCCACAGCATGTGGGATTCCTTCAAAGAGACTCATCACGCTAATATGGCCAGCACCTCCTACCAAAGTTATTTAGAAATGTTGAAGTACTGTACCTTTGCATTGAACTCAAGATAATCCCTGGAACAATCTGGTCTGCACTGTTAACAGTTAAGTTCAGTGTTTAGTAAAAGAGTCACAGTAGACCGGAAGGCTGTCTATTTGTGTTTGTTTCTCTAGTATAAGGAGAATCAAGATAAAAACAAGATACCCAAATGTGAGTGATAAATATGAACTGAAGATGATCCCTCAGAAAAGTTCTTGATATTAATTTGAACCTTATCATTACTCTCCATCATTACCTGAATCTAATTAACATTTTAAGAGCTCTGTTACAAGGGGGAGGAGCTCTGGTAGCGCAGTGCCTAAGGCATTTGACTGCTGCCCACTCCTCAGAAGGAAGGTTGGGCAATCTACTTCCGTAGTGATACTGCCTCAGAAACCCAAGGAGGGGTCACTATGAGTCAGATCCGACTCCACGGCAGTGGATTTGGTTTGGTTTGGTTACGGGGGTGGGGGAAGGAGTCCTGGTGATACAAATAGTTAACCTTGACTACTAGCCAAAAGTTTGGTAGTTCAAACCCACCCAGAGGTGCCTAGGAAGAAAGGTCTGGCAGCCTACTTCCAAAAGGTTACAGCTTTGAAAAACTTATGGAGCAAAGTTCTACTCTGACACACAGGGCATCACCGTGATTAGAATAGGCTTGATGGCAACTGGTTTGTTTATTATTAAAAATGGAGGGGAGAGTGAAATTCAGCATTCAACTTAACTAGTTAAGGGCAACTGTGCTATGTCCATCTACAAATACCAGACAAGGAGCTGATGTTCCTCTTGGAGAGAAGGAACTACAAGTGGAGAAATATTTCAGTGGTTTTCAGTTTAGATTAGCAGCAGCGATTTTAAGTTCAGGAGGTTGTTCTTGGAAGTTGCATTAACGTTTATATTTGCATGACACTAAAAAAAAAAAATTTTAAGTTAGATACCTGATAAGTCTAAGAAAACGTAAGGAATTTAAGAAGATGAACTAATGCCAAAATCGAGTTATTTTGTGTTATCTCTCAAGAGATTTAAAGCCAGTAGAAAAATATCTCAAATTATATATGCAAGAGTTTATACAAGCCCCTTCTTAGGATTGATGAAAACGTCAGAAAAAAGTCAGAAATCTTATTCACTCAAACAATGAGAAGGAGGGCAAGAGAGTTAAAATGAGATCAAGAAAAAGATTCAATTGTTGTTGCTGTTGTTGTTATGTGCCATCGAGTCGCCTCGACTCATAGCAGCCCCTCCTTGGGCTGCCGAGGCAGTATCGCTACGGAAGTAGATTGCCTAACCTTCCTTCTGAGGAGTGGCTAGTGGGTTTGAACCATCAGCCTTCTGGTGAGCAGTCAAGTACCTTAGGCACTATGCTACCAGAGCTCCTACAGATTCAATTATGAAAACTTAAATACAAGTAAAGTTCTGCTGAAAACTGTGCCCTTTATTCGGAATGAGCATGAACAACTAAGTTTTAATATTTGCTCTATTTTCAAAGAAAGCCAAATTAATGAACCTTGTGGGATCAAGGAAGTACATGTGAAGATGCACGGGACACTTGGTGGGAAAGCGGTTAAATTCTGCAATGGAAACCCTTAAAACTGTAGAAAGTACATCTGGCAAAGTTAGAAAACCAGTCACTGCATCAGTCAAAGGGAGTATATAATGGCACAATCACTAAGGAGAAGACCTTCACAATATCTAAATAAAATTGGCAGCACATAAATCCTATGATCTAGCAATTTCACTTCTCATAAATTTTCCTGATGAAACTCTGATACATTTGCCTAAGATAATTCCAAGAGCATTCATTGCAGCATGTTTTTGTAATCGCAAATAATTAGAAATAACTGAGAGATTTATCATCAGAAGAGTAAATAAACTGTGATTTGTTTACTCAATAGAAGAGTATGAAACACCTAAAATGAATGAACTAGACCTACTTGTATTCAGATCCAGTTGATATAGATATATAGAGAAATATCAGAAACAATGCTGACTGAGAAGAAACAAGTTGCAGACTGATACATTATGATCATTTGTAAAAATTCCAAAATACACAAAACACTCTATTACTATTTTATAATAGTATATATTATAGGA